CAAATTTGAATTATAGGCCATATTTTTAAGATTATTCTCGGTTATTAAGAGTTTAAAATTGGAGTTGAATTTAAAAATAATTTGGTAAATTACTATGACTGAAGCTGTAGTTTATTGTATATTTAGTTTATGTAATTGATATATTCACATTTGGCAGAAAAAAGACACAGTTCGTGCTTTCAAATAAATGACAAGGAATTGTTCTATCATGAATTTGTATCAGAACTCTTCAAACTAAAATAAACTGACTGAGGTAAGGTCGTGTTCGTTAGATAAGTTGATGTGTATAAAAAGCATCTAGAGCAAGGTGTTTGGCACATGGCAAATATTTGGAAATTATTAGTTATTGTCAGGCTGTCTTATAGTCTAATCTGTCAGCTAAAGATGATGCACCTTGAATTTCTATAACATCTTGCCTTTATCTTCTTTATGAAGGGTGTAATGTATATACTTATGCCTCCGGTATGTTCAGTATGACTTTGAGCCAAGAAAATTGAAACTCCAGTGACATCAACTTGTCCAGGTGGCCCACATTTGAGAATTCAACCGTGGTTTCAGCTTGCCTTCAAAACCCATACTGTTCGCCTTTAAGGGGTGGGGTTGGAGGGGTAGGGAGAAGGGGGCAGAGTATACCTTTTGCCTTGTATTTTAATATGTGATGTTGTCTTCTTCCTTTGCTAGGTTCTAAGCTTTTTGAAGGCAGGGATTGTGCCTCACTTGTCTGTTTCAAGGTTTTAAGGGTCTACATATTACTCTACTGTGTTCACTTACTGGATGTTGAGTGAATGAACATAAGTGAATATGATGTAATTTTCTTTTCTTAGAAAATGGTGAAACTATAAGCAGTTGTTTTTTTTTTTTTTAAGAAAGATAATATTACACTGCTGTCTCTAGAGGAAGCCTGGACTATTTCTGGCCTCTGAGAGGATATATTTACTTATCATTTGTATTCTGTTAACTTCCCAAAAGAATTTGTCTGGAGTACTGAGCACATGTACTGTTTGTTGGCCCTCTTGACCACCAGGTCTTAACGTTTATTTTGAGCTTGCTAGTTTGAAAAGTGACCTGAATGCTAGAACATGAGGGTAGGGATTTGAGCCATCCTAGCCATGTTCTCTCCTTTATTGTCATTTTAATAAGAACCTTGTATAAGACAAGTACTTTTTTTTTTAATATATTACAGATGATGAAATCAAGGGTTAAGTCAAGGAAAATGCTTATAATCACAGGGAGTAAATACAGAAGTCAAGTCTTGATCCCAGTTTTGTCCACCTTCAGAGCCCATGGTCTTTTCATATTCCTTTTTTTTTGGTAGTTGGTAGACTGCCCTTCTAGTTTCTAAACTTAAGGCGTTTCCAAGTAATTTAAGTCATGATTTTTATATTTTATGTCTAGAAATAAAATTTACATAGCTAAGTGAAAATGGGATTCTAAATGGTTTCATTTTAGAAGTCAAATGTTAAACCTTAAATATGCTTATCTTAGATGTAGATTCTTTTGCAATTTAGAATCAGTTTGACAAATACGCACAGGCTGCTCAAATGGAGTAGCTGTCTGTTATTAAGCATATCTTCTTATTCTGAACTTTTGAAACTCCTGGAGGGCAGATTCCTTTCATGTGTCCTTTTTCCTGAAGTCCCTAGCCCATTGCCTAGTACTTAAAAACGTTTATGGAATTGTATGGAATTAATAACTTGAAGGTTCACCAGCACGAAGAATTTTATTTCCTTTAAATCAGGCATTATTAAATAAGAGACCCTACTCCCTTATGTGTCCCCCTTCTGCATTTTATTTTCTTGATTGTCAGCTAGGTATTTTCGTTTTGGTTTATCACCACCCCTCCCAACACACACGCACACGCATGCAAGCGCACACACGCACACACACACCATGTTCTTTTCATGAATGCATTTTTAAAAGAATCTGGCATAGGAATTGGGGAATATATAATAATAAGGCAGGCATAGTTATGCCTACAAGGACTTTATCCGTATAAGAAATGATTATGTCATTCTTCTGTTATTAGTTGATTTTCACGAGATTTGGAGGATGTTCTTGTCTAATTTAAAATACAGATTGTATGCTATATATGAAATTAGCCTTGGTTGGCCCTGGAAGGAACCCTAAGAGTGTTCTAGAAAATTTTACACTAGGGTACAATAAGAGGCTCATGGAATTACTAATCTATGGAAACACACCGTATATATTAAGGTTTCATGATGAGAGAAGATAATACTTTTGTGTAAAACCCAGATTGGCAGTTAGGTAGTATTTAAAGTGTTGGTTTGCAGTTAGTTACTTTTCATGTGAGCAGATCTATATAGTATTCTTCCATTTCTGGATTTGCTGATTGATTGATTGAATGATTTTTTTTTTTAAGATTTTATTTATGTATTTGACAGAGAGAGAATGAGAGAGAGCACGAGAGGGAAGAGGGTCAGAGGGAGAAGCAGACTCCCTGCTGAGCAGGGGGCCCGATGCCGGACTCGATCCCGGGACTCCAGGATCATGACCTGAGCCGAAGGCAGTTCCTTAACCAACTGAGCCACCCAGGCGCCCCTGGATTTGCTGATTTAAATATGGTTAACAATTTTCCAGGGTGAGGCTTTCTTGACCAGTTAGTGGCAAGTAAGAGGACAGATTAGTGTTGCTGGTGGGTAGAAGAGGCGCAGCCACCATAGTGTTGTATCCTTTTCTCCTGCTGTCCAAGAACTCGTTGACTTTATTCTTGGGAAAGGAGGGTTATTGTTTCATGTTATCAGGCATTTGGGGGGAGTTGTTGCTGACTTATGGACTCCCAGTAGTACTGAGAGCTATATAAAGCCCCAGAGTTAGTGGAACATTGGGACATTGGCAGAGACCAAAGGAACAGCTGCAGTAGCAGCCATTGCTTTATGTGGCAAAGAAGGAAGTCAAATTGGCACAGGTTGATGGTGTGGGACCAACCTCTGGCTTGGTCGTTTCAGAGTCTATGAAATGGAAACTGAGTATTCCCTTTGTAAGTCACTGATAGCGGACTTCAGACTTCCTAGTTGATCAAGAGGAGAGATTGTTTCATCTTTCATTTGGGAGGCTGTATCAACAGTGTTTGCAGTTGGCCTCAAAGGAATTGCACTGAACTTTTTAGTCATTTTAAACCACTTAATTTCTTGCCTTTTAGCAGTTAATAAAGAAATTAAAATGACTCCGTGTAGTCATTTATATGAGTAAAATGGAAATGCTATTTAAGTGACTATGATGGACAGTTTCTGAAGGGATTAGTTAAGTGAAGTTTTTAGAAATGTAAGCCTGTGAGCTGCCAGTTAGAAGTGGGAAACTGGAATTGGAGCTGCAAGATCTAAGGTGGCGTAAGGCTTGTATAGAAAGGTAAAGCCAACCACAGGAAATCAGAAAAAAAATTTGGCTTAGAAAGATAGCATGAACTAAGAACTAGCATATGTTGGATATTAGAAAGTAGAATTAAACAGTTTTCTATTCCTGTTGTGGTTATGGCTCTAAGTCCAAATTCCTTTTAGGGTTTCTTACCTTTCTCTGTAGTACCCCCCCACCACCCCCAAACACACACATATACATACACAGGAAGGTGGATTAGAGGAAGCAGCAGGAAAGTGACAAAACAGCACAGGAGAAAGAAAACCAAATGAAGAGTGAGGAGACCTGGTTTTGGCATCTGACTTCAACAAGTTGCCTTAAGAGCCAGCAGATTAAATTGGGATTAATTGGGAATTTCATCAGCTAAAAGACAGCTTTTGTTTTGGTTTTTCTTCCATAAATCTTTGTGAAGCCTACAAATTGGATTTTAGAATATTAATGGTCTCTTTCTCTAACTGTATATCCCTGATAATTTTGAACAAACTCAGGGAAAGTCAAGTTATAGAAACTTGAACATTCATATTGTTTTCTTGAGTATGGCTCTGCTATAATGAATAATCTGGTGGAAGTCAATTCTGCAAGAACTGGAAATAAGGCAACTGAAACTAGTGTATTGATTTACTAACTCATTGTGTTGGAATATGAGGAGAATAAGCAAGTGAAAAGAAGTAGTAGGATCCATAAAGAAGAGGTTAGAATACAGATACCTGGACCCCATTCTTCAAACTCCTAAATCCTAAATACGTTTCTGGTGATAGAGCTCAGAAATGGTTTTTTTTTTGGGGGGGGTAGCCCCCGAAACAAGTCATTCTAATGAAAAGCCAAATTTGGAATTCACAGACTTAATTTTATTCATGAGCACCTCTAAGAGCTATCATTTTATTTTAGGAGTGTTAAAGCTGAGGTAGCCTTTCTTAAGCTTTAGCAGTGGATTGGTAAATTTCTTAACCCCGGAGCAGTAGAGCCATTAGATAATAGAATTACAAGGGATATTAAAGATAATCTTATACAGAGGCCAACAAACTATGGTCCATGGACCAAATCTGGTCCTCTACCTGTGTTTTGTAAATAAAGCTTTATTGGAAATAGCCAAACTCATTAATTTATTCATCTGTGTCTGCTTTTGTACTACAAGAGCGGAGTTTTGCAGTTGCAGCAGAGACGATATGGCCCACAAAGCCTAAAATATTTCCTGTCCTTTTACTGACAGAGCGTGCCAACTTTTGAATTGATCAGATCTGTCATTCTATATATGTAGAAATAAGACTAAAAGATAATCAGTGAAATGTTCGGAGATGACACAACTAATTGGTAGTTAGAGTGCAAATACAGTATAGTTCCCTTTTTTCCTGCTTTCAGTCCATTACTTTTTGCTGGAGCAACTGATACCTGAGTAAGATCAGAAAATATATTTGTGGTACAGAGTTTTGTTTATATTAATTATATTATGAAACACAGTTACTATGAATAGTAGTCCAGGTCTTAGATAACATGGCTGTACAGAAACCTTCTAAATTTGGGTCAGGGGGTAGAATTTGATTGTAGTATATTCTGTTTCCTGAGTATAAATCTTTGGTTTGACCTATTGAGTAGTTTGATAACAAGATTCTTTTCTGTTGCCTGTGCAGCCAAATGGACGGACTGTTGAAGTGGCTGACGAGGAAGCTGTCCAAACTCCTCGAAGTATTACAGCAAAGCAGCCCTTAGAGACAGATAAGAAAAATGAAAAGGTAAGCTTGAGAACATATGAAATTATATGCAAAGCTCTTAATAAAGAGAGTAACATATAAAAATGATGCTTTTCTGTTTCACAAAAGTGTACATGTACTCCCCGTTTAAGGACAACTGAAAATGTGGGACATAGGTGGTGCAGGTTTAAGTAAGTTGTTTTGTTTTTTTACTTTTAAAAAGGAAGGATATATCACCAAGTATTTTAAACATGCTGTGGCATTATTAAATATTCATTTTGCCAAAAGAATTTACTCATGACTTGAACATCTTTTATATGAATAAGATTCCAGGTATGTAACATCCCTCTTATTTGAAAACAGAATTGTGTTATCTTTGTTAATAGTGCACTTCTGACATAAAAAGCTTACCAAAATTGTTCTGTGGTATTAAGGGTTGAAACAAATTTCTGTTCTGTTGGGAGATATGATTGTCTTCTTATTAGACAGTTTGACTTTGTTTAACAAAAGAGAATGTTCTATATTCAGGTCATTATTAAAAGGTTTGGATGTGCACTCTTAAGTTTTCAAATAAGACAATCTGTCATACCCCATAAATGGTACATTCCTGGGATTTTATTCATTTTTCAATTTTCAGTGTTAGAACTGACCCAGTTTTTATTTGATTTAATTTAGTTTGTAAGTAGGCAAAATGTAAAAAACTGTTAACAGTGGGTTGTTCTGCTGTGGGAGAGTGACTTTTCATTTAAGTCCTTTTGGTACATTAAATACTTGTTCCCCCCTCCCCCTTTAAAACCCTACACATGCATAACTTCTTTTCAAGAAAGACAGACAAAACAAAAAATAACCAGAGGTAGGTAAGTGGGTTTCTAGGAACCAGAATGCAACAGCTCCAGTCCTACAGAATAGTAGTATGAAATGGTTGCTACTACAGTTTCTGAATGCTTGCAACTTCAAAATGTCTTTGAAGAACCGGCAAGATCAATTCTCCCCCTGTAACCCAATGAAATTGGTCTAGGGCCACGACAGTTGCAGGTGGGATGGCTTAAAATGAAGGCTAGTTGTGGGAAAGAGTTAACTTTATGCCTGATTTTGCCTTTGGCAGAAAAATAAATAGTAAATGACTTGTATTAGCAAATAAGGATACAATTTCGGGATTGTGAGTTTACAGAATAAATAGTTTATATGTCTAATAATGGATTTATACTTCTTTCATCTAAAGTTTCCTTATTTCTGGGCTTTCCACTAGTGAGCATTTTATGCTTGTTCTTGCTTCCAGTTCCTGAATTATCCTATAAAATTTGTAGTTGGAATAATTGATGAACTACCATTCATTTCTGATTGATGAATTATATAGATTGGGTGCGTGAGGATGTAAAACTACAGTTTAGAGTTTATAATCATTCTGAAATTTCTGATAGAAAATAGTTGTAATTGACATTTGCTAAGTATCCATAATATGGCAGGCACTGTGCAAGGTGAGGTGTGTGTATACGTGTGAATATATTTACATATATCTAGGAGAGACAAGTTGCTGAGTACCTACTGGGTATACTTTTAAGACTTTATAGAATATTTATATGTTCTTTATTTGTGCTCACAAGAGCACTGAGGAGGTGGTATTATACCTGTCTTACAAATAAGAAACCTGAGGCATAATTTATCACAGCTACTAAAAGTAGTCAGTTCTATCCCAGACCCATCTGACTTCAAAGTCTGTGCTTTTTACTGCTCTGTATGATTTCTGATCCTTTCATAAACTCTACAAGGCAAATAGTAAGAGCCCCATTGTACCGATAAGGGCTCTGAGGCACAGAGGGATTTTGCAGTTTCACTCATTTCATAGATTGCTGAAGTAGGATTCGAATCCAGCTCACTCTGGTGCCAAAGCCCGTGCACTTGTTAATCACTTGATGGTACCGCCTCCTTTCAGTTGCTGTTGATTTTAAGGACAAAGCTTCTGCCTTTGGTTTGCTGCCTATTTGATTTGACTTTTTGCATAGTGGTAAATGCTGCAACTCATGGCTAGTGTTTCTTTTTGCCATCTGCGTCTTGAATTTATGCTTTTTAACCTGGTACCAGTCCAAGAGACCTCGTTTCAGTTAATTTTTTACGCTCTTGCACTGTGTATGTTTTTGTGCGTTTTAAATATGTGTTATTTTAAGACTTTTTATTACTTTTTTTGTAAAGATGCTTATCGTAGATCTACTTAGAAACCTTAAGACACATTATTGTCCGTTTTCCTCTCAGAGCCACATCTTGGCCACTTTGAGAAGTACAGGTTGCCTATAGAATAATTGCAGTCTTAAGCTGTGATACTGAATACCTTGCCCTGTCACTTGAGTAAACCTCACAGAGAAAAACATTGTCTAAAAACCATGTTTGACAAGAGTTACAGATCTTGGGTCTATAAAGCAAGTTAAACTACCATAGTTGTCTAGGTCTTTATTTGGCTGTGAAGGTCAGTGCTTCATTGATACTGGTCTCTAGCAGAGTCCACAAGGACCATTAGCTAGGCTGAATGCATTGTGCTGTTAGATGCTGAAGGGAATAAGAAGAATGGAAGATGTACTTAGCCCTCAGAGAGATTGCAGTCTAGTTAAGGAAGTGCAAGCACAAGAGAAGATACCAGGTAACAAGGCTTTGAGTGCCAGATATTCAGAAGAGTAAGATTATCTATTCTATTTGGGTGGGCAGAAAAGATTGACTTAGTAGGACTCTTAAGGATGGGGATGGTATTTCAGTAACTAGAAGTGAGGAGGCCAATTCTGGCAGGTGAGAGAAACAAATGAACACAATCAGACATTATGCATCTGAAGCAAAAAAGCACATTCAGACATACTCAACGGAAAGCCCTAGACAAGTTTGACTGGTCACAGTGGGGTTGGGGGTATGATAAAAATAGGTATGTTCAGCTGGCAGCAACATTTATGAAAACAAATCAGGTTTGCATCAATGATTATATGAGGGTCTGAATTAAAACAGAAGTGTAAAGATCATTAGAGAAACAAGAGAAAAATGTATGAAATTTGGTCACTGTCAGGTTGTTCAGGATGAAGTCAGTGGTGTCCTGAAATACTAATATCACTCATGATAAGTATTAATAAGCTCTTACATTTTTATGATGCTACAGTAATACAAATATTTTCACATCTCTTGACCCTGATGAATAACTCTTGGTTGGGGAAGGAGGGGAGTATAATCATTTTTTTCAAATCCAGCTCATTAAAAAGAGTTTAGTGGATTGCCCAATATCACATAGCTAGTAAATAATGATCCCTCAATTTTGCGGGGGCACCATTTCTCAAAGTGTGGTTTGTGGACCCCTGGGAAAGGGCCTCGGGGACCTTTTGTTGGGTCCAGCTGTTTTCATAACAACAAGAGACATTTGCCTTTCTCAGTGTGTTGATATTTGCATTAATGGTACAGAAGCAATAGCAGGTAAAACTGCTGACCTCCCTAGCACAAATCATGACTGTGACACCAGACTACTAGTAGCTGTATTCTTTATTGCAATCCACTCACAATTAACAAGAAAAAGAATGCCAGTTTCACTTAAGAGTGTCCTTAAGCTGTGAAAATGATCGTTATTAGTTTTATTAAATCGTGACCTTTGAACACAGGCTTTTTAATTATTTTGTATGATGAAATGGGAACTATATATACGGTGTGCTGTGTAGTGAAGAACAGTGGTTGTCTTGAGGAAAAACACCAGTACAGTTGAATTACAGTCCTGACTAGCCCCCACTTTGTTCATGTTGCTCCATTTTAACATGAAAGAAGAGCTGATAGATAGGCCATGGTGATTTAGACTTGGGTATTTGCAGACATTTTCTCAAAAATAGTCAAGATGATCCTGTCACGTCAAGGAAAACAACATTTAGTATTTATTGCAAATGATACAATGATTTGTTTCCAAGTGAAAATTAGAAATTTAGAAAATTTGTATCTGCTGCCATGAGCTTGACAGCATCTCAGAGCTTAAAGAACTTCTGATGAGATCAATTGTGATATTAACAATTGTGACTTTTAAAAATACGGTATACAATGGAATATTTTAACATTTTAGAAGATGTGTGTGACTCACTGAACTGGTATTTTCCAAATGACCAATGCTTGCACGTTACAAAATCAGGAAAGTGTAAAAGATTCATTCAAAGTACAGGATAGACCAATAGAGTATGGGAAAGTTCGTCGATACAGATTTCATGTTGCAACAGTTTTTAAGAAACTACCACTTGACAAGTTTTGGCGTAATATTTTTTTCCTTCCTCTGCTTAAAACTTCACAACTTGCCATTGCTCTTATGCCACAGGCTTGAACATAACCACTCAAGTCTCTCTTCCTATCCCTGACCCTCCCTGAGCCCAAACACATTGGTTTTCTGTCTTCCTTTTTTATTAAACAGCTTTATTTTGAGATATACTGTAAAATTTATTTTGTTAAAGTATATGATTTCAGTGTATCTGCAGAGTCATAGTGTAGTTTTTGAACGTTTTCCTCTTCCCAAGAAGAAGTCTTGTGCCCATTACCAGTCATGCCCCATTTTCCCCTCTTTTCCTCTCAGTCCCAGCCCCTGTCAACCACTAATCTTTGGTGTAATATCAAAGAAGAATGCAATTATCTGAAAAAACTATTAAGACAGTCCTTTTTCCAGTTACATATGTATGTGTACGTAGCCAGGTTTTCTTCATCTGCTTCAAATAGTGTGTCACACAGTACAATTAAATGCAAAAGCAGGTATGCAGGCTTTTATGAAGCCAGACACTAAAGATATTTGCAAAATGTAAAGCATACCACTCTTCTCACTAAAATGTTTTTTGTTGTTGTGGAAAATATAGTTCATATAGGTGTAATTATACAATATGTAATTAGTCTATTTTTTGAAATTGATATATATCTAAATAATATCTTAATTTTAATTTATAATATGGTAGATATCGGTAGGTATAATCCATGTAAACAAAGGCTCTTTGACATCCTCAGTCTGTTTTAAGAGTAATCCTATATCCAGGAAGTTTGAGAACCACCACTCTAGGAGT